TCCCATCGGGGTGTGCACACGAGCGGCCGAGGCCGAGGGTCTTTTAACCACAGAAAAGAAAGAAAGAAAAGTTTACAGTTCAGCTCTTATATATTTATGTTCATGATACGTTATTATACATGATGTCTTATTCAGTATTGGTCTTTGCGGAGCATAGTGGTTTGCTCACGCCCCCATTGTGTTTTTCAGAAGACGGAGTCGAGCGTGCCGGGTGAGCTATGCGTGGCGAAGCGTGGTCATGACAGCAAGGACATATTTTACGCACATTTTTATGTTCTAGTTTATGATCATGTATTTATTCGGTTATGTATGCATGTATTATGTATTTCGGATGCTTCCGCTAGCAGACTAGACTGTGCGAGACAGTTCAGACATTGCATGTTTAATTCCATTATCTGTAGCAGATAGCTTGGTTGCATGTTTATTTATGTCTGTGAATAAGTTAAGTAATGTTTTTATCTGTGTCATCCCGCAACAAGTTAGTGTTTTCGAAAAACCAAGCTCGCACAACCTTTCGAAACAAAAGCAAAAATTTTACTCTGATTTTCAAAGCTAGTAAGGCGGGGTGCCACTGAAGCTAATACCAGAGCGCAGAGTGCGTTTCTGTATACTTTCAAAGTTTAGAAAAGCATGACCACGCTTCGCTCATCCCGCACCGACTCCGAGGTAAGTCTCCTGACACAGTTTAAGTTTTGCAAGTGCTAAATTCAGTTCAAGTATGGGGCCTAGATAACTATCCTCCTATAAGAAAAGAAAGAACTCTATAGGGAGAACTCTAGAAAGATAAGCTAAGACGAGAACTCTAGACAGAACTCTAGAACAGCTAAGTCCAAGGACTCTAGACTAAGTCAGAACTTTATTATGAGCCAGAACATAGGAAGTTTAAGTATACCGGAACTCTAGCCAAGCTAGGTGTTTTCGAAAATTATTTATCTTTTATTATTTCAGGAGTAGTATGGCTATTTCATAATCGGTTATACTAGTCACTTCAAGCGTTTCCAGAATTTCAGAATGCCGCCCCGCCGAGATCCCCAGGCTCCAGCAGAATCTGATCAGGCCGTCGCGGTCGGTTGCTTTCACACTTACAGCCCACCCGTTTTCAATGGGGAGGGAGGCCCGCTAGCAGTGGGCGAGTGGACCCGTAAGATGGAGAGGATCTTTCGGGTGATGGGGATAGTGGAGGAGCATAAGATTGCGTGCGCTGAGTTGCAGATTGAGGGCGCCGCAGGTGAGTGGTGGGATGGCTATTGGAGCCTCCGTACCGAGGACGAGAGAGAGGCTCTGTCGTGGGCCCAGCTTAAGACGCTCCTGGAGGATAAGTTCTATCCTCGCCATGTACGTCAGAGGATGGCCCGGGAGTTCAGTGCCCTTCGACAGGGAGACAGATCCGTTGATGAGTACGAGCGGGAGTTCGCTCATAAGAGTGTCTTTGCGCCACATCTGGTGGACACCGAGGAGAAGAGGGCGACCCAGTTTCTAGATGGGTTGAGGAGTAACATTCGACTGCTGGTAGCCAGCCATGGTTATCTTGACTACACGGACACTGTTGAGAGAGCTCAGCAGATAGAGGTGTACATGCAGAGAGACGCCGAGAGACAGCCGCCAGCCAGATAGCCAGCTGCCATTCTGCCTGCCCAGCCAGCTCAGGGCAAGAACAAGAGGAAGTGGGATGATCGCAAGGATAAGGGGAACCGTGGACAGAGGGGCCCAGCTCAGGCGGGCCAGCCAGCCCGACAGGATCTGCCGGCTTGCGCTAACTGCGGACGTCGTCATCGTGGGGAGTGTCTGGCCGGGCAGAACACTCCCAAGTCGGGGCCTGACCTCGCGACTAAAGAAGCAGAATCCGACCTCATGAATCGCCCAGTCAACTGGAGCGCCAAGTTGTCGCGCTGGCACCCTCATCCAGCCATTTCCTGAGGCATTTGATAGACTTATTTTTGGGCTAATTTATCATTCTCCCACCGACAAGTCCCGTTTCATTTACTCCGGGCTGGTTGATCATTCGCTCGCCGACGTGACCAGCTCTCCTGGATCGAATTATTATTCGTTTGTAGACAAGCCCAGTCCCACCGGACCGATTCCTCATTTGCTCGTTTCCAACCTCATTAATCAATGTCGGGGCCGAATTTACTTGCCTGCGATGGATCCGACTTCATTTATCTACGCCAGAGTCGAAGTCACATATCTATGCTAGGAGCTAGCACGACTTATTCATCCACGCCGCGATCGGTTGTCTATTTGTGACGTCTATATTTTCTCGACGTTGAGCCCGACTCCGACTGAGTCGACGTCTGTATTTTCTCGCCGTAGAGCTTCGACTCTGGCTGAGCCGACTCCTATATTTTCTCGTCGTTGAGCTTCGACTTCGGCTGAGCCGACGTCTATATTTTTCGCCGTTGAGCTTGACTCCAGCTGAGTCGACGTCTATATTTTCTCGCCATAGAGCCCGACTCTAGCTGAGTCGACGTCTATATTTCCACGCCGTAGATCTTCGACTCCGGCTGAGTCGACGTCTATATTTTCTCACCGTTGAGCTTCGACTCCGGCTAAGCCGACGTCTATATTTTTCGCTATCGAGCTTGACTCCGGCTGAGGTGACGTCTATATTTTCTCGCCGTAAAGTCCGACTCCGGCTGAGTCGACGTCTATATTTCCTCGTCGTAGAGCTTCGACTCCGACTGAGTCGACGTCTATATTTTCTCGCCATTGAACTTCGACTCCGGCTGAGCCATCTATATTTCTCGCCGTTGAGTCAAACTCCAGCTGAGCCGACGTCTATATTTTCTCACCGTTGAGTTTCGACTCCGACTGAGCCAACTCCTATATTTTCTCGCCGTTGAACTTCGACTCCGGCTGAGCCGCCATCTATATTTTTCGCCGTCGAGCCTGATTCCGGCTGAGTCGACATCTATATTTTCTCGCCGTAGAGCCTCGACTCCAGCTAAGCCGACGTCTATAGTTTCCTCGCTGTGGAGCCTCCGCTCCGGCTGAGGTGACGTGCCCAATTCTTACACCAAATCCTGAAGTTGATTTGGTACGACAAATACCTATTACGCCAAATCCTGAAGTTGATTTGGTATGACCAATATTCCGGCAAGGCACAACACCTACCGGTAGACAAGAATGGCGGTCGTAACTGTCGACAAAAAGTCAGACTTGACGAAATGTCGAGGTAATATCATTTACTGCACGTACTTATAATATATTTACACATTCATACATACATCATCACATACGTGCATCATACATGCATCTCGACACCAACAAACAAGCCAAACACTTGAAAGTGATTGGTTCGGCCAATAGTGCCAAAAAATTAACCAAACCCCTATAGCAGTTTGGGTCGGCCGAAATGCCCTAAAACCAAAAAGGCTCAACAGAGCCAACCATAAAAATGCATAACAAAATAGTCGTTGCAAAATCATCGCATGCACTTCAAATCAAGAAAATCATTCATAAAGGCCCAAGCTCCCTACGTATCAATCAACCGAGCCATTAAGGCTCTTATCCGAAATTCGACTCTTTCAACGAGCACTATATCAAATATCGGGCACCGCGTCACTCGACCAAGTAATAATTAAATAAAGATGAAACCAAAGACCGAATACCAAATTATTCGACCAGGTCCACATGACGTAGAAAAATAATCGACGAAAATCAAAAATCGCGCCATCTCATTACAACAAACATCTTCGCGCGTATGGATTACAATTCAAGGGGCCACAGTGCCCATACAAATCAATACCATTGTCGTCATTGCACGCAAAACACCAAAAACGGGAACCAAATTACCCGATAAGGCCTTTTAGACCCCATTCAATAGCAATTCCAAAGAATTGTCCATCCAATTCACCGACTCAGCCCATCAAAAAGCATACAACGCAAACAACATACAAAACGTCAGGCCAAAGCCTGAAAATGATCAACAAAATGCTCACGAGTCCCAAAGCACCCAGACAACTCCGATAAGATATTTATCACAGTGTAAAGAGCCCCAAGCTCGAAAAAATTTTAAGCGAAAGTCCGCCAAATTGATAGTAAACGCGACTTCAGAACAGTTCTATTCAGAACATGTCCTAAAGTCGGGGGCCTCTATGTTGATACCCAATTTGACCTCGATTAGTAAAAATGCTACACGTGGATATGTATTAAACAAATATAAAAATATCAGGTTCTCTGAGCTGATTATTTAATATCGACCGAGTTTCCAAGTGCCCAGATGATCCATGTTCGAGCCGAGCAGAATTAATATCATCAGCTGACCCGAATATCGAGAAGGTCCGTCTCCGACAGACACAATAGTTGCCGATAAAGTAGACGTCAATCGAAGCCGTCAAGTGTCACAATCGGGCCCCACGATGTCATCTCACATTATATGTTGATGTCCCCTTTTTACCTTTTTAATAGGCCCACTTGTAAAAAAAGCCTTGTATATATACATGGTGAGGAGAGAGAAAAAGGGGGACTATTCCTCCATCTTCTACAACACACAAAATCAAGAAAAAAGGGTAGATCTTCATCTCCCAAAAATTAATAAAAATGAATATTTGATCAAACACCGATTATTCATAGAATAGGGGTGTATATTCCGTTAATACAATTTCATATATCAACATTTATAACAAGTTGTGTGGATGGCTTCAGCCGACCTAGCCATCTTCTGCAATATTCTATTCTTACTTTCTTCCACTCCATTTTGTTGCAGAGTTATAGGAGAGAAAAACTGATGAGTTATACAACGAGAATCACAAAATGACTCAAAACCACTGTTTTCAAATCCTTTCCACGATCACCCCTAATAGCAACAAGACCAATTTTTTAATTCTCATTTTCAAGTTTTAATAGAAGTGTTTGAAACGCATCAAGTGTGATATAACAAGATAAAATTCCCCGTGCGAGGATAAGTTCGGTCCTGATTAGTAGCTCGGCACAACAACATTGTGTATACGAAGACGGGCATAGTCTGGAGCTCAATTGGCAGAGCCGATTAGTGAGGGCACCTCGGCGGAAAACCTAGGATTGGTGACAGGCGGAGGTCGACCACCAAGGGAGGATGACAGCGTGACGACCTCTATGAAGTCGCTCTTCTCTGGCTCGGCTTCAGGGTCATGAGGGTAGGAAACGAAGAGTCGTACGAAGGCAAAAAACTGAGTCATTTTCAGTGTGGGAGTCTATACCCTCAAGGACTCTGGATACTATGAGATCGGTGTTGTTGAGAAGACGGGTCCGAGGGGAACTCTTATCCTGCTAGGAATTCTAAGATCAATATGTAATAGCCCAATTCTGTATTAATAGAAATGACAGTTTTTAGTTCCCAGTTGAACTATTGCTTTTTATTAATACTGCTCGCCTTGAGTTCCGAGCCCAGTTACTAGCTATTCAATCCCAGTTATTAATTCCGGTCCATTTTTCTTATCAATGGATTTTATTCAGTCGGAATTAATTATTTCCAGTTGACGAATACTCGAAACCGAGTATGTTTCGATAAATCGTCCAAGTCAAGCCATGTCCGGAACTGAGTCGTTCGGTCACAAGTATCGTGCCTAGTTCTCGCCAAGCCAATTCTCGAGCCCTAGTTGTCTCGAGTCTTGTTCGAGCCCTAGCCATGCTCATAACCTTACTTAGAATATTTTCTAAGTATGAGATCATTTTTATCGAGCCTTCGATATCATTCCCTCGGCCTAAGTAACCCCGCACCGAGCTCGTGCACGGGTCCGAGTCCTCGCGCCCAAGTGTTGCATGCCTCGCCAAGCCGCGAGTGCCCAAGTCATGGTTAGTAATGTGGCATAATTTTTCTAAGTGTTTTGGTTCCCTAGACGAACCACGAGTTCAGCCCTAACCAAGGGCTATCCTCGGCCAAGCATTTCCAAGCCCGGTCCATGAGTCGCGCCCTAGTGCCCGCACCCTAGCCTCGCGCGAGTCAAGCATGGTGGCCTAAGTCATGGCCAAACACCTTTGGAATTTTTCTAAGTGTGGAGAGTTTTATTCCAGCCCTAAGCATGTGGCATTCTCGGCCCAAGTCTATTAGCACGCGCAGCCAAGCTGTCCCGCGCCCAGCAGGCCTCTCGCGCCCAGGCCCAGTACCGCGCCGCGCCCAGCAGGCCGCGCGGGTCCAATCCTTTGGCCCAATGTGGATTGTTTCGTGGCCCAATTCCCATGGCCCAAGTCATGCGAATTTAACAGGTTAATGAGGGTTTAATTAAGCCTAATTAGCCCTAATGAAGTTTAAGCCTAAAGCATTGCAAGTGAGTCCAAATGTGAGACATGTGCATGGAATATTATATTATCTTGTGTCATGCCTTGTCCCCCACCATGTACCAGTCTGACCAGGGCCTATTTTTAATCCAAGATGCTCTGATTATTCCCCCAAAAATCGTGCAAAGTCAGCTCATGGGGACCAAGACCAAGTCCACCCAAGATCCCCATCTTCCCATGCGCATGAGTGGAGTTTTGTCCCCATTTTGCCTCTTGGTTGCTCCGCCCACCAAGACCCTTATAAGGGATGTCCTCAGCTGAGTGTTAAGCATTTGACTTTTAGAAATTTCAGCACATAGTGAGAGGAGTTGGAGAAACCGAGAGCTAAGTCCTAAGGCCAAAGCCACGCGCCTAGTCACGGGATAGAAGGAAGCTCGACTTGCACCTTGTTCCATCCAATTTCTCTCGGGGCTCAGCCATTCCATAGTGTTTTGTGGACTTTTAGGAGTTCCCAGAATCCATCATTTGCAGCCAATAGTCGCTGAAGCAAGTCAAAGCTCGAGGAGCCGTGTGTAGGCACTAGTGACGGGCATCACCACCATTTTCGAGTTTGAAGGAGGTAAGCTCGTGCCACCCTTTTTCCTTAGCCATAACATGATATTTTAAGAATTATCATGAAGAAAGTTGATGCCATGCATTCATGCAAAGTGATATTTCGAATTTTAAAGGTTAAAGGGCGTAATTTCAAAATTTAAGTAGCATGCATGATATGGCCGAGTTTGATAGCTTAAAAATCCTCAAAAATCATGTGTATAACATTGGTAAAAGATTAGCATGCATTGAGTTCAACTGTTCGGTCAATTTGTTAAGTGAAATCGAGCCATTTTCACCTCCGAACCCAAGTCAATGTGCATGCATGTATTGACCAATGTTCTAGCCTCCTTAGCCATGGTTTTTGATGCTTAGTATTCGGCCCTAAGTGTTTTAATAAGTTGAGCATGTTAGTTCGCTGACCTAGGGTCCAAAGGTGCCATATAGGCCCTACCGGATCGAGCCCTTATCCACTCGAGTTGCCCTAGCATTTCTTGGCCTTTTTACATGTTAATTATCATGTTGAATTGTTTTGGATTGGTAGTCACCGGAAAAGTTGCCGGAAGTTCGGCAAAAGACCGGCTAGGGTCACCAGCCGCGCCAGTCACGCGTGCCGTGCCCGTGCCGCGTCACAGAGGCCAGGCAGTGCCTCTGCCCGTGCCTGTGCCTAGCGCTCGCGAGGCACCGTAGTGATGAAGGATCGTGTGTTACGTCTAGCTCGATTCGCTCAAAACCCGCGCCAACGCCTTGGTTCCTTTGCGATAGGTTGCTAATACGCGCGCCGACGCCTTCGTACTTCGCGATAGGTATGACGAAACTCGGATGTTGGTCCTATTCCAATCACTGTGACGAAACGTTGATGTTGGTCCAATTTCAATCACGAACTCTATGTAAACTCACAAGAGAAAACACACGAGAACTTTGAACACAATGTTCGACTTTTCTATTCACTCATCAACCATTATTTCGAATGGTACATAGGTGGGTATTTATAGATACCAAATAGATCTAATCCTAGTCTAAATAGAACTCCTAAATCATGCAAGTAAATAAATCCTAATGCAACTAAACATCTTAGGAATAAAGACTTTTCTAACAATTAAAAGACTAATAGGAAACTAATAGGCACATGCCTTTTATTTGGACTCCTAACCAAACTAAGACTCCTAACTATGCTAAGTAAATCACGTGTCAAATCCTTTGCTTGCCCACCAAGTTGTCGCGCGCCCCAAACCCTAGCCGTCCGTGTCGCGCGCCGTCTCGCTAAGCCTAGTCCTCCTTGCGCGCGGTAACGCGCGCGCGCGCCTTCTACGCGTCGCCCTCATCGCGCGCTTCGCGCCTTCGCCCATCAGCCTGCGCATGCTCGCCCCTCGCGTGAGCGCCTCGCACGTCCCCTCGCTCGGCCTCACTTCCTCGCTCGCTCATCGCACCGGTCGCGTCCCAACCACATGCGCGTGTGTCGCGCACGACCACCTCGTCGTCCCACTCGACCAGCGCCTCGCGTGTGGCTTCTATCACCGTGCCCCGCTCGCACTCGCTCCTCGGGCCCTTTGCGATACCCCAGTCCACACGCGTGTCGGTGCCATCGCATCCGTCCCAAGTGCATGCTGTCCACCCTACATCCTCCCCTCGTGCACCATTGGCCTTAGCTCGCATTCGTCGTGCGCGTCGCTCTCTTGCGCACACCTTGCACCAATCACCCACCTTCCCGGGCACGATCACCTCACTCTCGTCGTCGGCCCCAGCCTCGTGTTCACGCACACTTCTCCTCGCGCACCTCTTCTTCACCCGGTCTAGACTCGCACGCCTCGCGGCTCGATTGCCGCGTCCCTCCGGTATACGCGCCTTAGTGCGTGCGCACACCCTCCTAGCCCGTGCCCGAGCCCTTTCTCGCCTAACCTCTCGCCATCTCTCGAGGCCTTCGTGGTTCTCGTCCTCGGGATCGCCGGGGTCGATGACCACATCTTCATCATTCCCGCCCTCTTCGAGAATTTTCTTGTCCTCAAGGATAATGAAATTGATCTCGTCAACTTCATCGAGCTCTTCTCCTGGATCCTCAGTTTGCAACTTAACTCGCTTGTGGGATCGTCCAAATGTCATAGTGCCCTTCTTGTAGTTGGTCGTGACAGATCCCAACGTCTCGAGCCATTGAACTCCAAGTACTATGTCAGGTCCCGTCAAAGGTAAGGCATAAAGATCAACCTTTAAGTCATAGCCTTGTGCAAATATGGGAACACCTTTGTATAGCTCGGAACTTCTGAGTTCTTCTCCGTTTGCAACCTTCACCCCGAATTGCTTTATGTTCGTCACCGGTGTCTTTAATCCTTCGGACAGCTCTTTGTCTATAAAATTTAATGTCAACCCGCTGTCAACTAGTACTTCGAGCTGTTCGCCTTGTACGGTCGCCGTGAATCGGATCATCCTCGGACCTTTCTCAGCATCTCTTTTCTTGCTTTTGATCACATGTAGCAAGGTCTCCTTGTGCTCGTACCCTTCATGTTCCGGTTCATCCTCATCAAACTCAAGCAAGAATACTTGCTTTCCAGCACATCCATGGCCCGGCATGAACTTCTCATTGCAAGTGAAGCATAAGCCTCTCTCACGCCTTCATTGGATCTCCTCGGTCGTAAGCCGTCGCATATGGCTCGTGGTTCGCGCGCCATCTTCGGTTGGTTTGGACTCGACCTGTGGGTGCGTCTCGTCGGTCGCAGCGCCCGTGCGCCATGCGTCCGTACGTCCTTCGCCTTTGTTGGCCTTGCGCACAGCGGCAATGTGGTCCTCGTGCAGTCGCGCGGACTCCATGGCCGCTCGTGTGGACCTTGGTCTATCCAACCTCACATCAGCCGCTAGCTTGGCTTTCAGTCCTCCAATAAATGCGCCTACTAATGCGCTCTCGGGCCAATCTCACACCCGACTTGCAATGCGTTCGAACTCCTTTTGGTAGTCTCGGAGGCTACCATTCTGACGAATTCGGGAGAGCGCCTCGTCATAGTCATAGTAGTCACTCGTGCCAAATCATGTGACCAACTCTTTTTCGAAATCTCTCCATCGAATGTGCTCGCCTTTGGTCTTGTACACATGTGACACCCATTGCCACCATGTGTTCGCTTCACCATCGAGATGATAAGCGGCGATCTTGACTCTTCGGACTTGTGCACATCATTGATCTCGAAAAATTACATGGCTCGATTTAACCACGCGTCCGGGTCGGTCCCCGTGAACGTAGGCATCGTGAGCTTTGGTCGTGCATAGCTTCGGTCGTCATGGTGGTGCGTTGCGCGTGATGCACGGGTCCTTCGTGATCGTCCGTCATCGTCTTCGTGGTCGGTCCCGGGGCTGCTCGATACCGCGGTCGATCGCGAGGTGTGGC